CTTCACCATCGTCACCACGGACCGCAAGGAGATCGACTTTCGGTGCCCGGGCGAGAGCTGCTGGAACGCCTCCATCACCATGGCGCTGATCGACTTCCAGAACAAGCGCGCCATCCAGGACTTCAAGAGCCGGCAGGAGGCCGTCGAGCAGGCGGCGGCGGGCAGTCGCGACCGGCGCTTGGCTCGGGCGCCCTGAGCCCCGCGCCCGGCCAGCCTAGCCAAGGTGAGCGATCGCCGCTGTTTTGGCCTCTAGTGTAGGTTGCGCTTCTGATCCTCGCTCTCAACTTCTTTCTTTCTCTTCGTTCGTCAACTGAGAATGTTGAAGTGAAGCTTCTCCAACAACTGGTTAAACAAAGTTAGCAATTCCTATTCTCTTTGAACTTTGGGAAAGCTATGCTCGTTTCACTCTCTGCTAGGTCCCCGCACCTATTCTGTATTTAAGGGCTGCAGAAGTTTGCTCTGCATTGGTCTTGGCGCTTAGTCCAGATTTTTGAGAGCTGTATTGTTTTATATTGAATAGAAAGGAAACTGTTAGCAAAGAGGGGGAATTTAAATCAACAGTAGCGAATTGACTAACTATAGCTATACACAGCCGAGATACACAAGACATGAGACACAAAGGGTAATTCTGCGCACGTTCCTAGCTAGAAACCAGCCTGCCTCAAAAGAGTTCATTCATTGGAATAGAGACTGCAACATATCTGGGATTCAAGTGACAGGAACCGGAGGCAGCTGCAGAGGAAGAACAGTTTGAAATCTGCTGTGGTGCAGAATTTCTGTCAAAAGAAGCTGCTTGTTTTTTCCTCTCCAGAACTAGTCCCTGAGTCACTGAAGGAGTAGGGGGAAAAAAAATACTCCAGTCTCTGTGCTTCTCAGAGGCTTGCTCTGCTTGGTTTACTGAGGCAATTCCTGAGTAAAGACCTGAAGCCAGGAGATACTGGCCTTCTCAGAATTACTCTGCTGAATACTGCCTTAAATGCAGAACTGACCGTAGAGGCAAAATGGTCTTTTTCAGGCACTCAGTCTGTGCCTTTCAAGTAGCAGATATTTCCACATTTTTATCTTTCTAAGGTTTATTTTAAAAATGCGAGAGGAGACATATATAATCGTCTTTGTACAACCTTTCTGCACAGTGCTAGAGTTTTGCACAATTATGCCTAGTCATTGGGAGAATTGAAATAATTTCAATAAGTTACTCTCCATTTATTTATTGGAAAGTTCAGCACGATTATAGCAAGCAGCCTTAATTTCTGTGGGGTTCCATGAAAGCTGTTAAGCCCAAACACAGTATTGGTCACTACTAAGGAAGTGTGTATGGGATTGCCATAGTACTTACCTAGAAGTAAGTTTTTTTGGGCTCAGTAATGCTGACTATGAATGAATATGTATTGTGTGATGTCGCACTGCTTGGTTTTCAGATGCAGACCTTTAGGATCTGATCCTATTCATAATTTGGAGTAGGGTTGCCGTGCAACTGATGAATTCATTCTTGAGTGAAAATGAATTTCTAAATACTTTAAAGTCCAGTGCAATATATTGCTTGTGCTTGTCATCAGTCACTGTATTAGTAAACCCTATTCAGACATTAGATTAAAAAAGGGGGGAGAGGTAACCACTTTTTTTGCTTTTTCCTGTATCCCTAACCATTTTTTTTCTTTTTTCCAATAGATTATACATCTGGATAATAAATACATTTGTCTTGGACTGAACCAGGGCAGGATACGAATGAAGGAAAACAAAGAAGGACGCTACAATACCTAGATTTTTCCAGGTGTGATCAGATGGCTAAGCAAAGAGTCCAAGCTTCTCCTTAGAGGCATTTATAAACCAAAGAACTTTTTTTAAAAAGAAAAAGAAAAAGACTTAAGTCAAAGAGTAAGGTTGTACTTCCAATACACCCAACTTTGCATTTTTTTTTTCTATTTATGAGATGCAAAGAACATGTGGCACCTGCAGGTGTGAAACCATTTAAATTATTTGTAATATCTATATTTGTATTTATTTTGATAAACTTTTGTCTTAAATTGCTTTTAGCATTTAAATATGTCCATTCCAAATAAAATGGCTTTTTTTTACTGTATTTCTGTTGTGTGGTATTTCCTTTATTACAAGTGAAAACCTGTGTTCTACCTGTACTTCATTGAGAGCCTACCCAAAAAAGTACAAGTGATTAGCCAATTTGTTTGTATGAATTATAAGATACAATCTGTATATGTAAATGAGAAGGCATATCCTGGCCAGAAATATAATATTTAAGTAGTGCCGACATTATGTATCTCAATACAAATTTACTAATCCAAAACGGTGGTAAACAGATTGATTCACTGTTTACTCTCTCAAAAACATTTCTAGGACTATATTGTTTAAAAAGATCAGAAGACTGTGCCAGAAAAATCAATTCATTATTTCTTCCTAATATTTTTAGTCTACCTAGTCCAGCGTATAACATAAAGATGCATTATATAGGTAATGCCTTGCAGTTAGATTCACTTCGCTTGAAAAAAGTTCCTTTTTTTGAGATTTTGAATCAAATTACATATCAGAAGCATATACAATGGACAGGTATTTTGAACTAAGGATTGTGTGCTCATCACCATCCTAGATAATTTATGAGTTGTAAGAGAAGCACAATATTTTCCAGCATACATTTTCAAGAAAGAAGGGAAAACTTAAAACCTTGTCCTTCCCATTTTTGTTATAATTTCTATTAACTATGGCTTTAGTTGAGTGATTCTATACACTTCATTTCCTTCCAGATTTGAATTATTAACTGTCCTTCCTCGGTTCACTTGAAATTAAACCATTTAAATAGCAACCAATCTCCCTATGGCATTGAGTAATGATACACCAGTATGAGGAGAAAAGCACTGTAAGTTCCAGAAAAAAAGGATGCTTATTTCCAAGATATGTACTTGATTGCCTAAAGCAGTTGATCATAAAATTAACTGTGAGGGGGAGTGGGAGGAAGATGTGCCCAAAACTTCCTATGAGGCAAACATGACAAGGCAAATACTTCCTGCCTGCCCTACCAGATATGGCAGAGTGGACATGTTCCAGGTACCATCAACAAAAAAGGTGTCATCTGGAAATGTGTTTTTCTGTTATGGTGTCTGCTGACTGGAACAGTCACCTTCTTGAAATATGGACAACCCCTTTTATATTGGCCTTTCAGAAGTTTGTGAAAATCTGGCTCTTTCCTCAGGCTTTGTATGTGGTTAGTGGTTTTGTGATTTTTTTTAGTGAGCTTTGATAATGGGGTTTTTGGGGGGAAGGGGGATGGTTTGTCTTGCTTGCCATCCAAGGTTTCTTGGATTAACATATAAATTGGATTCATAAATAAATAAATGATTATCATGGCAGCCCTGAAGTTCTGAGCCACTCCAGGCCTCTTGCTAAGAGAAGGTCGGCTGAAGTCCCCTAACTCTTTAAACTGGAGGAACTCCATTTCCTCCTCCCTCCCTACACAATCAGGTTGAGTAGTCCTGGCAGGGAAGGTGGAGTGCAAGAAGGAGAATGGCTCAGGAGTGAAGCCAACTGCCTCTTCTAACCCAGCCACACAGCCAGCAGAGTTGCAAGAAGGCCTTTCTAATTCATGCTGTCTTGCTTTTCAAGTAGTGCTTTTCAAATTCTAAAGCTTAAACAACCTGTAACCACCAGCTGCCATTGTATCTGCCCAGAAGCAGTTTCTTCCTTTTCAAATACTCCTCCAAGTTTAGCTCTAGTAAGCAAGAGGAAGCATCAGCTTGTGTTATAAAGAGGCAATTTGAATACATAATTTGTAGCATTCAGGCAAGGAGGGACAAGCCTGGAGTAAACTCAAGGCCTCTAATAATAGCATCTATGTTCACAGAATCTTTTGAGGTTGACAGTGCTTTAAACATTTTTTTTTAACATCCTTACTTCAAACATGTAAGTAGGCCAGTATCTCTGCAGTGCAGATGGTTGTAGAATGAAAAGGGGATTTTATAGAGAACACAGGAGATGTATACATACAGGCCAATTCACACAACTTGCTAAGTAATAAGTCAACTCAGAAGGCCATAAGTTAGACTTATTCATCTAACCATGATTTAGGAAATCATGGCTTACAAATATGTGTAAACTCAAAATGAGGATTGCTTCACTCTATTTGGTGAACTTTTAGTTGTAACTTGGGTGAGATATGTACTCTACCCAATTAATCATGGAGTACATACTTAATACTGAAATCAACATGGCTTTAAGCTTGTGTTACTGACAATGCCTGCGTATATCGTTAATTCTAGTATTATCCAATAGAAATTACCATTTGGGTTCCTATTACAATGTAACAATATAAGTTGTCTCTCATCAAATATCACTAGGAACAAAAGACGGCCCAAAAAACTGGATTATGCTGCAGGATACAGCAGTATTTGCTAGATAGGAGAGAAAAGGCATTTTATATGTAGCTCTGTGTGTCTGTGGTTGCATGTTTTTGTTTCAGGATATCCAGTCACATGCTTTGTGTTACATCTATTCTTCTATCTTGATGAGAAAGTGCAATTGTGTGAACAAGTAAATCTTTCCTTTGTACTTTCTCTAGCCAAAATTCAACTGTCTTAAATCTATAACAATCACAGTAATAGGGGTCTACCATTTCCCAAAGTACGGCATTCTAAAGTTATTAATAAAAAAAACATATTTCTCCAGACATTTTAAACATTTGTGTTTACCGCAAAATGGTATACCACTATTGCATTTTAAATAGTGATTCTGGTATGATATGCTGTAAATGGCAAATTATAAAAATGTAGTATTTATAGGTAATCTTGCCTCGCCATGAGAAAAGTCATTGTTGAACCAGGACACTGGGCTCAGCAGGCACTACAGCTGCTTTTCTGTGGCGGCAAAATTTGTAGCAGAAAACATAAGTGAAAATTCCAGGGTCTCGGGGTGGGGAGCAATGGTAGCCACAGCCATTTTTAGAAAAATGATGTAGCCTTGTGATAAATGCATGTAGGGGTTGCAACCTGGCAACCTACTTGATTTTCTACCTGGAACAAGGGGGTCTTTCTTGCTCTGAACACCAAGAATTGTAAAACATGTCTAGGAAAACACTGTTGTTCTCATAGCTCGTTTCTAAGCTACCCTTGGAACCACCTCTGGCAATAGCAAATTAAGGGTTAAACTCACAGTGGACTTTTGCCTGGTCCAACACTACTTTTCTTATCTTTGGAAATTCCTACCCAACAAATATGATTTTAAAAAACTTAAATGACCAAAAATAAGTTTTGAAATATGACTATTTTTTGTTCTTTATATCAACAATATCCATGGAATTAGTCACTGAGCTTTCTCTTCTTTCTGAGGGATCTTCTTCTTCAAGAGATAAAAAAACAAAGATACATTCACCATTAGCTGTAAATAGCCAAAGGAGGAAACCCCAAATTGTCTATATAGAAATCCTCCTATTGTTGGGCCGAATGTCCGTATCAGTGGAGTAACTGAAGCACTGATTCCCAGCATGGCTCCTATGAGAAACAATGGAAAAATCAGATAGCATAGATCAAAATTCATTTTAAGACCTGCACTCGCTCCAATGGATTAAAAAGATCAGTGTCTTAAGTGTTAAAATACATGCATCTGATTATAAATGGGCTCTCTTCTTAGAATATGCTTGATCTAGTCAGCCTCTCTTCCAGTCAACTCCCTTTATTAGTCTACCAGCCCATTACCAGACTAAGCATTTTGGAAACATAATATTTGCAAACACTCCTGGGATTGACTGGAATCCCAGGAGCCCTCGTGCCCAAACAGTGTTCTAGTTTTGTACATCGATCACGT